GGTCATATGCAGGCACTTGAGTAAGGCATTAAGAAAGAAAAGGAAATTAGGAAGAAATACCTAGTCTGGAAATACCATTGTCACTTTTCAGAGAAAAGAAAAGTCACAGCAGCTACAAGAGCATCTGAATAAAGAAACTTTGCAAGAGGCAGAGATCGCCTGAGCCTGATGTGAGGCTAATTTTGTATTTGGACTGATTATTTTTTACTAAAGTCAGTAATGAGTTTTCAATAATAATCATTCAAAACTGTAATGGCATGTCTTCCCAAGCATTTGTAATATTGCATCCAGTCATGCCAACATGCCCACCTAGGTGAATTCTGATTTGTTTTTAACAATGTATGATGAGTAATATAATAGTAGTGCTTGTGCATATTTTTATGTCATGTCATGTTCATTCACTTGTATCAGTTGTTGGTTGTTCAATGCACACCTGGCAATATTCCAGGCACTTTGAAGACACCTTGTAACTAATTTTTTCTTATTGATATCATATCTTCTTTAAAATATAACATTAATGATAATGCCCACCGTAAATTGTTTATTTTCTTATTTATAGGTGTATGCATTCAATGATAATGATGATGGCCGTGACTTTCAAATAACACTAGTTCAGGTGAGTTACAGTAATTCCTTCTCAATGAAAACATGTCAACTACAGTGTGCACTCTGTCTAATTCGGACCAGCTTGGGACCGACTAAAAAGTCCGAATTATACAGTAGTCCGTAGTACACAGATTTCAATGGAGTTATGGAGTTATCTCCCTTTGACGAACATACGATCGTGCATGAAACACATGTTACATGAATGCGTATAATAAAGACGAAACACTGACAAAGTACATTTACATTTGTTTATTACATACAGCTTCAGTTTGTGAAGAAATCAGTCATCAAAGACTGTGACTGGCTTTTAAGTGATTGATTTAGAATCAGTGTTTCTGTACTGGCTTCGAGTGTAGCCACAGGGTTCAAGAGTTCAGGTGAGTTTTGCACCATGGCAAAATGTTTTATTTCCCTCAGCATCTCTAGGACCTTGGGATATGTGAGGTTTGTAGTGAGCGATTCACTTTCTTCATTGTCATTGTCATTGTCACACTCTTCATCACACTCTTCCTCGGTACCACCACGAAGTTTCTTCAGAATTTCCGCTTCCCAGTCCTTACTATCCGGGTCCTCTGTCGGAATGTCAGAGTCACAATTTACAAATTCTTCCACCTTACATGCGCTACTCGTCATGTTTGCAACAAGCACAGCCAAAGGAATGTCATCTTCTTCAGTGTCCGATTCTACAGAATCCAGTGCACATGTTGAAAACCCGCATGCACTAAAACACTTCCTGATTGTCAAAATTGTTGTATCCTGCCACAATTTGTGAATCCAGTGCACAGCGTCTAACACTTTAATGTTTTTGGAAAGTTCAGTCACACTGCTGCATGTGTCGATCCGCGATATCAGGGATTTCATTAGAAATTTCCTATATCGATGCTTGAAGGCACGAGTTATCCCTGTATATTTTTCTTATTTATAGGTGTATGCATTCAATGATAATGATGATGCCCGTGACTTTCAAATAACCCTAGTTCAGGTGAGTTACAGTAATTCCTTCTCAATGAAAACATGTCAACTATGTAAAATGAGTTAATGTCAACGAAGATCTGAAAAACGTAAATGGATTGGTGGGATTGTATTACTCATAAGAAATAATATCATTTGTTAATAATCAGCATTTTCAACTGAAATTTTGCCATTTTGCAGAATATACTTCACGAGGAATCAGCACAGGAACATCTGGAGGTTAGTTAATAAGCCCACTTGTACAAAATTTAATTGTTCATATTATTGTTTACCCCTTAATGACAATCCTCATCCTGCTTGTTGTGTCTGAAATGAGTTTGGAATCAACTCAGCAATGTCCTACTTACATATATTAGCATATATTTGATGTGAAGCTGGTAATTTTATTGGCAACTATTGTAAAGTTCACTGATTAGAGAATAACAGTCTGTATCTTCTTTTTAGAATATTCCTGGCGTGGAATGTCCAGAGCTTCCAGTAAGTATTTTATTTCAATTTCAGATTCTGTTGTATTTTGCATGTTAAATGTCAGGTATATACATGGTTTGTCAATTGAAATTGAATGTAAATGATACATATTATGTTACACTTCATCCAATTTATGTTTCTTTCTGGCTTGAAAAAGCTGTTCATGTAAGTTTTGGCATCATTTTCAGGTGATATCTTACAAAGGAAAGAGCATCAAGTATGGGTAGAAAGGTAATTACACTTAATATATTTAATATTAATTTAAATCCTTTAACAAAGAAAGACAATTAAACTAAACGAGAAAACAACAAGCATGGTGTTTCATTTTTGGGGATTTGTTCATTTTCTGCTTTGTTCTGATTAAATGCACCAGTGAAGTTTTTAATAACTAAACTGATCAGTATGAATGATTTCTGCTATCACAAAGTTTTTGGTTTGGTAAATTATAGAGTGGTATTAAAAGAACAAATGATGTCATTAAATGTCATAAGGTATCAAACTTTCTTTATCAGACTCTTCAATCAAGTTCAAATATTAGAACCTTTGAAGAAAAAAACACCTGAAAAGGTAAGTTATAGAAACCTTAAACTGCCATCTGTGAATTGGATATATATGGAACGCTGAAGGTTAAATTAATGATGTTTTCAAACATATTAATTTTTTTACTTGTTACCTAGATACTCCTAACTTCTTTGAGTGGCATTATTTAGATATTATTTTATATTATTTTAGATATTCCTATTTTAAGATAACAAATGGTTTTACACTGCTTAAGTTTGCTCTTTGCCACAATGTTCCACAGTCTATCTGTACATGTCTCTCATTGTAATCATCTACCCTATGCGAGGTCATGGAAAAGGAATATCAATGAAATGTCGATGTTCATATCACTCAGCCAACTGACTTCTTCCTACTGGTCATGATGACAAATAGAACCCTACTTGTACAAGCTTCTATAAGATGGACAAATAACATGCGGACAAATATATTTTCAGGCATCAAGGATTGCAGAAACTGAGGAAATGGTAAGTTAATAAATATCTCTACTGCTAAATGGCCTAATTTTTTGTTAATATTTGAATACTGGTTCGTTGTCATATATAATTTTTATGTAAAACAACATTTTCTTTCAGGTTGAGTCCTACTTGCAAAAAAGGAGACACAATAATGAGGTGAGCAATTATGAAAAGTGCTAGTCTGTACATGCTTAGATTTTCTGGGGCCATTTCAATGTTGCTGGGGCGGTGTTGGTAGCCTAGTGGTTAAAGTGTTTGCTCGTCACCCTGAAGACCTGGGTTCGTTTCCCCAAATGGGTAAATTGTGTGAAGCCCACTTTCTGGTGTTCCCGCCATGATATTGCTGGGATATTGCTAAAAAGCGGCGTAAAACCATACTCACTCAATCCAATGTTGCTGTACTGCAGGTATCAATTTTGTCATATCTAGACTGCACCAGTGCAGGTAAAATATTGCCAGTGCAGGTAACATGTTCCACCACAACTGCATGGCATTTCGTGACATTTCATGGAAGGTCAGGGGTCACTGTGTCAGAGGAAAAATTATTCTTGTAATGGTGGACAAGTGGATTTTGCTGTGCAGAAATGGAATTAAACTTATGAATGAACATGTTAGTTCAATTGTAAACATCTATCAAGACATGTGTCAGACATCAAGTAATGTGAACTTTTATGGAGAGAGGAAATTGCCCAAGAATATCCCTCACACACCTGTTAAAGAATCATCCATGTCAGTGGAAACTATAGGATTGTTGATAACATGGTGCAGCCAGATGGCAGAGCCTGATAAATCACTTGTTTGCACCGGAATCATCCCCTGCTGTACATAGTTGCCAATATATAGATGACAAATAAAAGATTAGCAAACGAAATAGATGGTTCAATGACAAACAATGATGTGTTATTGCTCTGTGGTGTATCAGTGTTATTAGCTATGACTTACTCTGTCACACAGCATCCAGTATATATTATGGATCATCAGTATCAGTGTTTCTAAGCAGCATGTGTGAAAGATATTTCTTGGTGAATTTTTAATTGAAAAACTCTGAAAATAGACTACAAAAATAACAGTGAGCTGACTAGTCCATGTTACTAACCATGCATATGATGGATTTTGTCCATAGATACCCCCTGCAAATTCAAGGTTGGAATGATTGTGGAGGCATTAGAGGATGACGGCTTTTGGTATAAGTTATTGTTGTCATCATTGTTCAAAAGAAACTTTACATTTGGAAATCATCACAAATGCATGAGTTAGTTATCAATTCTTATGATTATTTTCAGATAGATTTGCTTAGGTACTGATCATCATTTGACTCAAAATCAATAGTCGGACCCTCTTTCATTCTGAAACTTCTTGAAGGATAATACTTTTTGTGTCGCTCAAAGAATTGCAGTAGTTTATTTTTTCATACCTGGAAGCGATTCTGCATATTTGGCAAATCTACAACAACAAAAATTTGATAGGTTTGAATCTAGCAAAGATAATTCCCATCTCTCTGGTTATTACTACAGTTACTTCATTTCTGTCCTGGTAGTTACTTGAGCTATAGTCTGTAGTGAAAGTTATTGTTCAAGGAGGATATAGACATTTCCAGTATTGAAATTAAAAAGAGGTGTTAATTTTTCCAGGAAAAAAGTGTTTGATGGGACTTTAAGGTTAACTGTATATTTTGGAAGAACATGCATACACTTTCTTTTCTGCTGTCATGTCGACTAAATAAGAAACCAGGAAAATGTCAGTGGAGCATTCTTAAGTTAAAACAAAACAGTGGAGATAAATATTTGTGTGAACCTTCTTGTTTCCATGAATCATAATTCTTTTTATCTTGATTAAAAAAATAGGTATAAAGCCAAAGAAATATTGTCACTACAGAAGGAAAGAGTTAAACAAATACATTGGACTGGTTATAACTTGGATGAGTGGCTTTCAACAAAGGGTCAGGTTTGAGGTATGTCTTCTTCAGTGAGTACAATGTATTTCCTTTAGATGTATATGTAAATGTTTATATCACATTAACTTCAAGAGCTGTGAAGAAGCTGCATATTTATATTGCTTGAGATTTTCACTATGATGTTTTACACTTTGTGAAAGCCTACGAGAATAATTACACGTGTTGTACATGTTGGATTTAGTTGAAGACTGGTGACAAGGTTGAGGCTCCATGGTTGGTGCACAGAGCAGCTCGATACCCTGGCCATGTTGAGCGTGTTGATGGAGGTATTTCTAACATTATACAAATAGCCTATATATTCAAATTATGATTCATATTTATTATAAACCTTACATTGTTATTGTGTCTAATATATTTCTAAAGCATGTTGAATGTGTTTATACCTGAAATGAAAAGACTGAAAGTGTTTTCATGTTTTTCAGAATATGTGCTAATTGAATTTAGTGACATGACAAAGAAAAGAATTCATTTCAAGTATATTGAGAAGAAAACGTAAGTAATCAGATTATTTCAACTCATACAATATGAATCCATTCCCTCAACATGTTACATTACAAAGTAACTTGTGTATTTATTCAGAGGTTAGTTGTTATTTTTTTGCGGTATCCAGGAATGCTCTTCTGTGCCAAAGTTTGCTTTATGTACCATGTAGAGGCGCAATCGCGCGCCACCGGGGTTTCACCCAACTCAAAGTTGCTAAATCTAACAAACTGCAGGCTACCATAGTGTAAGTACTCAAGGCATTGTTCGTAAACTCATGGTAAAGTTGTAGTCACAGACATGTAATATCTGTGAATTTTGCCATTTCTTTATAACTAAGACCTCACTGTCGCTGTCACTTTTAGGTCAACATTTATGCAATTAGTCACGAAGTATATATCTCTGCCTGTTGTTTCCTTTGCCACCATTTACCATGTACAATTAACCTTCCTGGAATAAATGAAGCGTTGATGCCTTATGCTGAAGTTATTTTTCATTGGGAGGGCTCAGGGTAAAATACACCGCTGTCATATGTTTTTGTTTTCTGTAACAGGAACCATCTCTGAAACCCAACTTGACTTTCAAGACAACTGGACACTGAGATAAGCCCAAGTTCATAAGTTTGAATTACCAAGTGGGAAGAAATCTTGTATAAAGAAATCTCTATCTTTATTTCTATTTCTTCTTGATTTATATTATGTTAGGTATTTTAATTCTTGAGCAGCATCCTGCTTCTGGAAACTTTAAGTTGTTTTCAATGGGAAAACGTTATTTAATGAAATTTATACTAAACTATCCATGATGTTTGCTGAAGTAAAACAATTCTGCTACATGTAACTAAAAAAAAAATCTGCCAGAGTTTACACAAGTTAAATTGAAGTAGATCCAAAAGTGCTGCCTTTTTGCTATTTACAGATTCCGTCATTTGTATTTTTCTCGGTTTCCATGAAAATGATTTGGACTTAGTCTCAAAAGAAGGGGTGGATTTTGTGTCCGAGTCACAAGTTGAAAACCTTTCAATATATTTCAACAGAACTTCAGCAGAGTATATTTATAGAAAATTATATTTTTCATCTCTGATTTCCATGGAAGGGATTTGGATGTAGTCTTAAAAAAAATCAAGTTGGACTTTAAGTAACTGCCAGATGATTTGTTCTTTCAAATATGTGGGGCCGGGGGGATTTGTCATCTTCTGATGACTCTTGTTGGAACTGTCTGAAATTGATTATTCTCCTTGTAAATATCCCTGTCTAGGTAACAATAAGTAAAAAACATAATGGTCCCCTGTCATGGTTAGAAAGTTCCTTCTTTTCTTGGAATTATCATGTGTTTTGATGTACTTATTGACCCTACTCATTGATCAAATTGTGTTTGAGGTGTAAATTTAGTTTGTCATTGATGTCATGGTTTGAATGCAACTTGAAAAACCTAATTACCACAAAAAGTTATTTAGTTTTAAGATATAAACGTCTCATAGGTCTCTCTTGTAACACAGTATTGTCAAACTTGTCACATGATACAATTCTACTTTCATACATTTTACTTTCGATGACATTAAACATTTGCTATAATCTTTTCTTTGGATATTCAGATCTAAAATAATGATGAAATAACTGAGAAATTTGCGTTGGTTGAAACGTATTTGGAAGATGTCACAATGATACCGACATCCTTGTAGTTTTTATGTATGTCCCTCAACTTCGATATATAAGTTTCATTATTTACATGTTATTCTTGTTATAGTTTGTCAAAGTTTTAAAATTTTGTTCTTTTGTTACAACCAGACTGCCATAAAGAAAAGCAAATAACCAAAGTGTATGTTTTTGTGTTTAGAATATATATATATATATATATATATTTGTATATGTACAGCATGTGTAACTGTAATGTGGTCTATGGCATTTATGAAACAATACATGCAGTTATGTTATATGACCTTGTTTGTGTTATTTTCCCACTGTCTGATGTTAAATCTGCTTTCTATGATAGTATATCTCATCTTGATTGAATTGTTGGATTTCACCAAGTATTCTTATATTTGGCTGGCCTCATTAAATGGGTGTTACATTTTGTAAAGTCACATTTACATGCACACTGCAAATTAGATAATTTCAAAGTAAAATCTGACAAAGAGCAATTCATTTAGACAATTTTAATGTGTGCAAGTGTACAAATAATGAAGGCTCTGCTTAATATGGTTTCAAGGATTATGCATCTGCCATATACAATTCAGTGTTCCACTGCCCAGTTAGGGTGATTATAGAAGCAACAGAGGCACATAGACCATATTATAAATCTTTTCTGCCAGAAATTTCTGCAGAAAAAAATTCTGCAAGAAATTTCTGCAGGAAAAAAAAATTCTGCCAGAAATTTCTGCAGAAAAAAAAAACATTCTGCCAGAAATTTCTGCAGAAATGCATTTTCAGAGCCAATTTGTGAGCTTATGAAAACATGAACACACTTGCACATTACATTTTTGGATTCATCTCCTTGAGATCTTTCCAATGATATAAAACATGTTTTTTGTAGCATGCTTCCTTCTGGGTGTCAAGTTAGGACTGGCTGGCCATTCCTAAGTTGTCCCGCCAAACCTTTTAACGCTTAACGAAGGTATACCTGTCATCACATCTGAATAGTACTACGTTTATACAATCTGTTAGTCAATCTAGTTGGTCAGAGATGCATGCAAACAAAATCATAATGTGATGAATGCACGTTGGAATTATCACTGGAAGATATGGATATTGCGATTTCTAAAATCAGATCGATACACTAAATCATTGAGTTAGCTTCAACGTGGATTTGAAAAGAGCTCCAGTTACATAACGATTTGTCATCCCGAGAGTGTGAGAGACAGAGTCAGTCAGTTTCCTAGAAGTAATACAATTCCAAGTATTGGCGGGCTATGTGAAGCCTGACGTGCACAATGACACCATAACTCAATAAACGATAACGTGCCATTAAACCTACAATGGTCTCAAAGTGTAGAAAATTGACGGAGCCTGTTTTGTTTACACTATGAAGACAGCATGGGTGTGTACTTGTAGAAAATTTGAGAGAGAGTGGTGGAGGGGTTGTCTCCCAGGTTTAGATATAACTGATGATCCAGGTTTGAGATGAGGGTCAGGAAATATATAAGACAAACGCACAGTTTACGTGTCATCATCTTTCTTTCTCTTCTCTTCTAGTATCATTTCGGGGCGGTGGGGTAGCCTAATGGTTAAAGCGTTGGCTCGTCACGCCGAAGTGCCGTGGCAGTGTGAGTCAAAAAGAAACTTCACATTCTTTCTTCAGGGCACTATGAAAGAACAAGGATGGTAAGATGGTTAAAATTGTTATTATTTCATTGCTGAGATCTGTGTGATGTACTCGATACACTGACAGTGCCATAATCAGTTCCATTAGGCCACACCGCCGCCGTTCCAAAACATGGGTATACAGAATGTCAAGTCACAAAATAAAAATGCGAAATTTCTCAGTTCAGTATCGTGTATGGCCGCCCGCCTCATTCACCACTGCCAAACACCGTCTCCTCATCAACTGCCTGATGCTTGTGAACACGTGGTTGGGGATTCTGCGCCATTGCTCTTGGAAGGCAGCGCCAAGTCCCTTCAAATTCTGAGGTTGGTTCCTAAGACCACAAAGCCTTCTCCCAAGTGCATCCCAAACGTGCTCTATTGGATTAAGGTCAGGGGACCTCGATGGCCAGTCCATGACGTTGATTCCAGCGTTTTGAAGGAAATTTCGTGTCAACATCGCGGTATGCGGCCGAAACATTATCATGCTGGAACTGTAGACCTGGGCCATGAGCCGCCATGAAAGGAACGAGTTCAGGGGTGAGCACCTGGTCGCGGTAAGCAGCAGCTGTGGGTTTCCACGGATGACCAGAAGTCGGGAACGGTTGTTCCCACAGAAAGCACCCACACCATGCACCATCCGCCCCCGAATCTGTCGACTTCCTGTACACAACATTGGGCATACCGTTCGCGACGTCGTCTCCAGACTCTATGCCTGCCGTTCGCGAATCTGAGGGTAAACCTGGATTCATCGCTAAAGACGACTCGATTCCAGTCTCTCTGGGTCCATCGGAGGTGACGTTGGGCCCACAGCAGACGTTGACTTTGATGAAACGGCGTCAATATTGGCCCACAATATGGACGTCGAGAATGGAGATTGGCAGCCCGCAAACCGATTTCGAATGGTCTTTGAGGACAGTCGACCTCTGGCCCTGGTTCGTGTAGCCGGCAGAAATCTGTCACGTAGGTGACGTAGGACGATTTGACGGTCTTCTGCTCGTGACGTCACACGTGGACGACCCGACCTTGGGCGATCAGAAGTGGTGCCAGTTTGTTGTAGACGACCTCGCAAGAAGTAATACAGAGTACGACGGCTGCATCCCATTGCTCTTTGCGACGTCAATAGCTGATCTTCCCGCTTGCAACATGCCAACGGCACGTTCACGTTGCACATTTGACAATCGTGGCATTTCAAGTACCGTTAGAACTGTGGTTTAAAAGTGTTTTTTCAATTCTTGAGGCCAATGCAAACACGTGCATATGAAGAAAACTTCGATGCGAAGATCACGTGATCGACTGCACGTGCAAAACCTGATTTGGCACTAACGTCATTTTGCACGACGAATGGATGGGTTTGAGTGGGTTTTGCTAACGTTTTTCTAGAGTCGAAAGATAGGGATTCCATTTCGGATACATAGATGTATCATCAGAGAAAAATTATTCATTATTTTTCAAATTACATTTTGTGAAATTTCTTTTTTGACTCAGTATATATCTATATGAAGAAAGTGATGAGAATACCGGAGCGTACAGTAATACATATATAAGAAGAAGTTTCTGAAATAATCACACGAAACGGATCTTCTCCAACATGTTTCACTATTATCTTCAGGGAGAAGTGATTACAGTTAAACGGATTATGTTATGACGCTTAATTTGTCATGACGTCACAATGTAACTATATATCCTAAAATGTTGTGACGCGGCGTTGCCATATGACGTCACATTGGCGGCTTTATATTGACAGTACTAGTAGCACAATGAAAACAAGTATAATTCAGACACATTGCGTTACCTATTTAACGATGGACACAATTCTTTGATGAAAAGTTTTCTTTAGCTTTACGCTGCATAGCGTTCAGGGAAATTGTGGAACTTGTGAATATATACTTGAAACTTCATGTATAAAGTTCAAAACAGGAAACAATTATTTCATGTACGCTCTAACATGGACTGCTCCTCAAAACATATTAT